TCAAATTACAGGGAGATCACATTCCTGAGCCTCCCTGGTAAGGTCTATGCAGGTGCAGCAAGTAATACATATTACTTATGACCAATAAGATGGGATATTCCATATAAACATGAAATATCAATCTGATTGATCTTTGAATGTTTAATGAGAAGATTCTAGGGTTCTTTGCTTGTTTGGGCACCATAAACCTATCTCCAGCAGTCAACGGGCAAGTAGGCGGGGTACACCCTGAACAAAGAGCCAGTCCATCGCAGGGCAACACAGGGCAAACAACCATGCACACACACACACACACTCACACACACACACCTAAGGACAATTTAGGCAGACCAAACAACCTAACAGTCATGTTTTTGGATGGTGGGAGGAAGCCAGAGTACCCGGAGAGAACCCACGCATGCACAGGGAGAACATGCGAATTCCATGCAGAAAGATCCCAGGCCGGGAATTGAACCCAGGACCTTCTCGCTGCAAGGCAACAGCTCTAACCACTGCGCCACTGCGCAGCCCTGAGAGTTGAAGTAGCTCTGAAAAGAGCTGTTGTGTCTGTACTCACCTGCAGCGTCGCAGAAAGGTTTTTGACTTAAGGTCAAAGGAGATGGTTTCACAAAGGCTTCTTTCCTGATTTCGCCGAATCGGGGATCAGCTGGAAATTGAATTACTTTGACACGTTTCTGAGTATTTACCAACATCCCTCAGAAAGCCACGCCTTCCTTCAGATACAAAAATATTTTTAACCTTAATATGTATCTTATTGTAATGTGTATGAGCGTAAACAATGATTAACTTGTTAAATCAAACACATAGTGATTTGTTATATAAATGGATCATTGTAAGAACAATATTTATTTTAAATTAATTGATTTAAGCACAGATCATTCAAAATTTTCATTTAAACATCTTGTTCCTTCATCACATATGATTATTGTAAACTTATGAGTTGTAAAAGTCATGGAAACTTCACTTGTTCAGAGTGAAGAATGTTGACGTCTGGCTTTCATGCAGAGAGTGCAGGACCTTGGGACAGAATGCTTGTTTGAATGTTTTGTCTTCATGGAATATCAACACGCGCTGAAACAGAACCTTCTGGTTCTGGAAGGCCAAATAGAAAGTGGATTTATGCTGTAGATGAAAGGTTATTATGTTGAAAATTGACCCTTTTGGACATTACACCGAGGTTCTGGAGAAAGGGCGAGGTCTGACAAACACTGGCGCCACCTGTCCCTCCGACCATCACCAGCAGGCAAGGTGAGTGAAGTGTCTTGCTAAAGGATACTACAGAGTAGATCTGCTGCTCCTCCACATCAAGAGGAGCCAGTTGAGGTGGCGTGGGTATCTGATTAAGATGCCTTCTGGATGCTACCCTAGTGAGGTTTTCCGGGCGTGCCTTGGGATTCCCTGGAGGAGCTGGCTGAAATGGCTGGAGAGAGGGAAGTCTGGGCCTCTGTGCTGAGATCAAGGGCCCCACAATCCGTCCCCCGGAGAAGCGGATGATAATGGATGGATGGATGGAAGCTAACTTTATGAAAAATATGACAAATTCTTGCCTTACTAAACACTTAGAGGGATTATATCGCTGGGCTGACCCTGGAGAACACCCTGGGGTTCCATCAGAGGAGGTGCTGAAGGTTTATGGAAAAGACCAATCTGGGTTTCCTTGTTAGGTCTGAGGAAAAAGCTACCCGGATCTGGATGAATTAGAAGATGACAAGTACAAGTATCCCAATGTGTGGTTTTTTAAATTTTAACCACAAACTTCACAATAAATTCAGGTCATCTGATTTTATTATCCTGATCTAATGTAAAAGAAAACAATTTTACCAGCCTGTGTAACTTTTAAAAATTTTATGTAAAGAAATGAATAAATAGAATATGATCCAAAAGTTCATTTACTTCAGTAATTCAACTTAAAAGGTGAAACTATTATGAGACAGAATCATTAAATGCTAAATCCGATAGTTCAGCAAGCTTTTATTTGTTTTAATTGTGATGATGATGGTTTTACAGCTGATGAAAACCCCGAATTCAAAATCTCAGACAGTTACATTACTGCGAAAAGGTTCAATATTCTTCGCCCAAAGTGTCACACTTGTAGAGTGGGTAAATATTGTTGCTTTTAAGCTTAATAAATTACCTTTACTTATGACCAATAAGCTGTGATACTCAATATAGATATAGAATATCACCCTGCTTGGTCTTTGGATGTTTAATCAGGAGATTCTAGGATTCTTTGTTTATTCAGGGATTGTAGAATACTTCGCATTAATTCAAGAAGAGAATCAAGTTTATAAAAAGTAAGAATTTATTTTCCAAACAGGTTAACTAATATAACTGTGGATGGATGGGTCTAGGTGGATGGAATGTGATGTATGGTGACTATGTGTGAATCTGAGGTGGGTGTAAAAAGAAAGAATTTGGTTTGCATTAAGCTATGAAGTTGGTTCTTATCAAAAAGGCATCAGACGCTATCTGTGTGTCTACCTCACTCTTTGGAAGACCCTCTTCATGGATCCGAAGGTCAGGGAGGTCGGATGACCCCTGGGCACCGAGGTTTGTAGAATAACCGTAGCACCGACTCTCCAGTCCAGAGATGTTTCCGGGTCATAACAGATGGATGGAACCGTTTGTGTCTAGAAGCACTCTTAGGGAGTCGGAACAGTATCAGCTTTGTTCTGCAGGAACCGTTTGCTGTGTCAGCAGTAGGCAGCTTTTAGCAGGGTTTTGACAGCTTGCCAAAAATGCTCTGGGTCAAAGAGGCTTCGCTCCGGATGGCCGTTCCGTAGCGTTCTCTAGAACTGAATCACCGTCTCGTGAGCTCTGTTTTAATATTCTCATCTTATGAATTCTTGCCCAATCGGAACGTGCCATGTTAAGGGATATTACCAAGAAAACCTCAGAACGTCACACCTTCTTTCAGATACAGATGCTCTGATTTAGGGTAAGGAAATACCTGTGTGTCATAAGTTTAACTTAACTTTAATTTGTCCTTGTGTCTGAGTGCAGGTGATGATTGCCTTGTCATATCAAACATTACTGATTACAATATATATAAATCATTCAATGTAATAATTCATATTATTTCAGTAATTCAAGCACAGTTCAATCAACCTTACTGATTTAAGCACAGAGTAATGAAGACATTATTATTCTTATTATTTCACAAATGATGAACTCATATAAGCTGAAAACAGCCACTCTTGTAACAGTCCAGTCAGGCCTAGATAACCGGGCAGGCTTGGCACAGAAGGACCTTGAGAAGGGAACAGTTTGTTGACACTTTGTTATCATGTGTTCCGAGCTGCAGAGAGGCCCGGGCTCCTGCTGATGGAATGGCAGGATCCGGCAGACTAAAGGCAACACATCCTGTCTCCATGTAGACCAGATACTGAAGGGGTCGAACTGCACATGAAAACTGACCATTTCTGGACATCACACACTCTAATCAGCTAATTCATCCAAAACACATGCAAAGGGTTCCTAAGCCTTTAGATGGTCTCTCACTCCAAGATGATTTACTGAAATAAATTCACTTTTGCACCATTTTCTAATAATTTGAGTTTCACGTGTAACTGATCACTTTGAACATCTTAGGTGTGTTCTTGCTGTGTCAAACAGGTAAACAAAACTGTTTCTGTGTTTAAAAAAGAACGAAAGCATGAACTGATCACTTTATTCACACATAAATGAAACTTCCTGGTCAGTCCTTCAACCTATTCCGACATACTGTTTTTCCAAGATAATATTCAGTTTTTTTCACTGACAGCTGTGACTTGGATTTACGTGTTCACTAAGACACTGAGCCTTACATGCATACCTTATAGGGGTTGAGATGAGTCATTTTCTGATGAGAGAATCATCTTAACAGAATGTTCAAACATTTTTTCATATAATGACATCTATCTACTTTTATAGATAAGGCAGCCTTCTTTAGTCTTTGGTCAAGCCTCATTTGCCCGTGTAATATTTTAAGAGCGAGACTTTCTTCAAAAATCTTTTAAAAGATGAGTATTGTTCCAGGTTCTCTCAAGGTCTTTTAATTCATCTTCAGGTAATTTCTTTTTGTTAGATATGCCTGTTGACTTTGACATGTCAAGCATTTGGTCCAAATCTCAAAGGATTGGGCTGTTTTCAATTGAAATAATTAAAATCCGTTACCTTTGAAAAACAGATTATTTGATGGATATGCCAGAGGCGTGGGCATATATATATATATATATATATATATATATATATATATATATATATATATATATATATATAATCTGGCCTGGCTGAAAGTTTCTTGCTACTCTTGCTACTCTGCTGGTCCTGTTTCAGGTCTTTGATGGTTTAATTTCTTTGTTTTTTCTGATGGTTCTGTTGATGTTCTTTTTAGACCTGACACTCAGCCTTTTGTCTGGTATATATCCATTCTTCTTTTTTTTGTAAAGCATACATATCACAACATGCTGTCACTGTCAGGTAAAATGGTTTGACAGCAAACAGGAAAGCCTTAGGTAGGTCGCCTTGAAAGATTTTAAGAAAATCTGGGGCCCTTGAAGCAAAATATGAAGGTAACTGAGGAAGTTAAAAACTCTTTTATGGTCCTGCACATGCTCCAATTTTAATTTTAAAAACAGCAACATCCAGTTTGTCTTTTGTTTTTGACATTTCTCCATCATGTCTCAACCATCTCCTCTAACGGGCTGCTCTTTGCTTCTCTGTCATTCATCTTAATGCAATTCCTGTGCTGACACCATCCCTCCCTCGTCTCTCTTTCACCATTCGATACTTCTCTGTTGACATGTCCGTCCATGAGTTACTATAGTAACCAGAAACTCCACTGACCCCTGCTTTGCCATGCACGACGGTACTCCATGACTTACTCACAGAGCAAAGATTAGCAGATGACTCTAGAGCACAACAAAAACACTGCAACACTTGACAATTGCAGCAATGTTTTGCATGTGTTTATATTTTCATTACTATAAAAGTGGTTCAACACAGAGGGAATGCATCAATTTTCCTTCAACATTTTAATTTTATATTAAAAATAACATTCATTACAGTAACAGTTGTACAACCAAATATTATAATCTTACATATTTGCAACAATAATTACACTTGAGAGCTAGAGAACTTCTTATTTTTAATAAGTTAAGAAATCAACTTTTTTAAAATTTTTCCTCTGGAAATTATTTTTTAAAAGACATTTGTTTACCAGCTAGCATTAGCTAGTATTGCTGGCTCTCGGCAGACAGCCATAGCTATTGCTAATTTAGCTAATGCTCTTGTGAGCCAGCCATGGCTAATGCTAAATTAGCAAACGCTAATGCTTTTGTGAGCCAGCCATAGATAATGCTAAATTAGCAAACGCTAATGCTCTTTTGAGCCAGACTAATGCTAAATTAGCAAACGCGAATGCTTTTGTGAGCCAGCCATAGCTAATGTTAAATTAGATGTGACTGGCTCACAGGTCTTTAAGACGTGTGGATATCCATAGCATGTTTATCAAAGCAGGCATTTAGCTGTTATTCTAGCTTTTCATTTTTGATCTGTCAGTAGTAAAGAATGAGCAGTTTATTGATATTTTCCAGTACAAATAGCTACAGTACATAGAAGAACACATCTCTAGTCATCGTAGTATGATCAGTGTGCAGTTACTCCAGTGTTAAAGGATGTTAGATTTAGACAACAGGACAACAGTACAGTAATATTTTGGCATTGAGGGCAACACTGCGGTTTCCAGTTTTTTTTTCCAGTGTAGGAATCCGATTCACTTTGCTCCACATTTGGCATCAAATCATGGATTCAAAGCCTGTCATTTAGAGAATGATCATTTTTAGGCAGCCAATCAATGGCTGCCATTCGTCCATCATCTTCTCAGCTACAGATAGGCCTCCATTAATTCCTCCTTGATGCGGTTTGTAGTTCAAACAAACACCACGTGTAAGATCCAGTGTTTAGTGTGACAAATTTCCTTCAATCTGAAGGAGATCACAAGATTGCACTTAATAAATCCAGAGCAATGGCTGCTTCGTAGCATCTCTGGAGCCAGAAAGGTGACTTTCTGTGAAGGTGTCCTTTGGAAACAGCTGGTCTGTAAGTCTGACCTCCAGAGAAACCCTTCTACTGTCTCCATTTCACCTCGGAGTGTTGTGTCAGTTACATCAGTCTGCTATACCATTTCCTGTTACAGAAAGAAGATAAATAAGTGTTGGATTAACTCATTTCCTTTTCTTCTTTCTTTTTATTCACATATATAGTTGATTTTTTTTATCTCAGGGCAAACATAATTTATTGCCACATTGTCATATCTTTACTTGTTATTACCTCTAAAATTCCTTTCAGCAACTTATAAGTGGACTCTATTTTTTCACAGTAAAACCTGTCAAAACCATAAAGATTTATTTTGGTTGTAAAATTTTCAAGAACAAGGAAAGAATCACAATATTGCAGAGAAAGATGCATTTGAAAATAAAAGTTTCTGTTTTATTTCAGAAAAATCTATAATTTATCAGAATTAAAACTAAAATATGTAATTAGCAAAATGTAACATTGTAAAAAATGAACCAGAGTCTAGAAAAGATGCCCAGCTCCCACCCCGTGGTTAAAAACCTCCCTTCTTCCCCACGGTTCTCTCCTTCCTCTCACCTTCTGCAGCTTAGCTCTCATTGCACGTTTGCTCATGCGTTTACGGGGTCTCCTCCTGCGGGGAGGCGAAGCCGGTCGGAAAGGTGTCTGATGAACTGAAGCTGACCTGGGAGCTGCAGTAGAGGATCCTGGAAGGGACAGACCTGAGATCAGTCATGTCTTCTTAAACTGAAACTGTAGCTGTGTTTGCTTTGTTTTGTTTTTATTATTCAACACAACTGAAATATTTACTAATTGCACCTTCAAATCTATGACTCAGCATTAGAACACATGTTAGACGTATGAAACAATGCAGATAAACTTTACAGCATGACTACTCGATCCAAAACTGTTGTGAACAGTTTACTGTAATTTAAAACCAGTTGGTATCACACACACACACACACACACACACACACACACACACACACACACACACACACACACGCACGCACGCACACACACACACAAGCCTCAGAAGGAGTACCTGTTTTGACTAGGCCTGCCTTTGGCCTCTGCGGAGGATGAAGGAGAGATGGTTTATCAGGTTCACTCTGTCCCATCTCCAGAGCTCCATCTCCAATCTTCTGTCTTCTCTCTCCTTCAGTTAAATGACCTTCCTCCCCACTTCTATTACAGTCTTTCCCCTCCCTCTGACTGGCTAGCTCTGACCCAGCTGAGTCACCGCTAACCGTTGACCCACTTTCCTCCCCGTTATTCCCCTTGTTCAGGGTTTCTTTTTCAGTCTCTGTCTGTTTATCAGTGCCCTGTGTGGTCTCTGAGTCTTTCTGAATCGCAGACAGCAGAGGAGTGGAGTTTTCTTCAAATCTGGGAAGCTGGGTAAAGCTGGCAGGTGAAGAAGCGCTGTCTGACTGAGGAGAATTGAGCCAATATTGTCTCCTCAGCTCGTGACCCTCCGCTCCTCTCTGGTTGTACTGCTGTGGATACCGAAACTGTTGATGATACTGATGGTGGTGCTGATGCCGCAGCCTCTGCTGGTGCTGTAAGAGCTGTTGCTGCCTCTGTTCATGGTCAGCATGCACCTCCCCACCACCGTTTGATATGTGCACACTACTCTCCTCGCGGCTCCTGTCGTAGCCGCTCCCGTGCCCAGCTTGCGGCATGCTGGGCTCTGCTCGTGCTTCAGATGGCCAGATGCTGACTGACCCAATCATCCCTGTCACTGTCTGGTGCACTCCTGTCTGCACATGTGTTGGGGGTTGATTTACTCTAGGCTGCGTCCAGCGCACCAGCTGAGTGTAACCTCCCTGCTGCCACTGCCTCGCCACCGGCTCTTGCTCCTGCAAAAGGCGATGCTGTTGGTTGTGCTTGAGGTCGTCGTGGCGATGGAGATCCGCTTTGGACGCGTGAGTCTTAGGTGAAGTTGGGTGAGCGGGCCGGGGAGGGGTCACAGGAATATGGGGGGATAGGGGAGGCTTTTGTGGTGGAGGTGGAAGAGGATTAGGGTTGCTCTGACTGGTCGAGTGAGGGATGGAGACTGTCGAAGAGGAAGCAGACGAAGGATGCTTGCACATACATCTGACGTGATCCTCCACTGTGATGACGACGGTCTCATACTGGGATTTTCCCTCTTTGTACATGATCTTTAATACCTGGAAGAAGCAGAAACATGAATGAAAGTTTACATCAGGATTTTCTTCCCGTCTTTCATCTGAAAAAGTTTTCCTTTGGTTTTAAATTTCGGACTCAAGCTATGCGACAAGTGAACTAAAAATAAAAAGTAAGCTGATAAGTTCATAAACAAATACTTGATGGCTGCCTGTCAAGACTTGCTTCCTTCTTAAGTTCAAAAGAGAGCAAATGCTGAAATACCTGTTCTTAAGGATTCAAGGAAACAAATTAAAGGCCCTGCATGGGAAATCAAAATGTATATCAACCTGAAGCGATGAAGCATGACATGAAAAAAAAAGTACACCATAAAGACACTTCTGTGCATTTTTTACCTTACAATCCAATTGGCTGAAATACCCATGCAATACTCATGTTACACTCAAGTTACCATTTCATAAACTTAGAGGAAAAAAACAAAAATAAACCTCGTTTTATGAGCTTACTTAAAATTTATGATGTTCGTTATTAGATTTGTTTGGAGAGAATCGTGCTTTCAGACCGATATTCTGATAAGATGCCAGAACGACCAGGAGAAGACTACTCTAACTTTTGTGTGAACATAAATTCAGAAACATGAAAGTTTTCTTAATCCAGTCGTAACTTCCTCAGCCTGGATCTCTGATTGGACTAATTACCTGATACATGCATGTTTATTTCAGACAGCTACACGTGTATTTGCCAAAATACACAAAATATTTACATTGTCTTTTGTTGCTTTGTGACTAATTTGGGAAAAGTTCGGTTTCCCTTTCTCTAATCAATTCAATTCAATTCAATTCAATTCAATTCAAGTTTATTTATATAGCGCCAAATCACGACAAGAGTCGTCTCAAGGCACTTCACATAGTAAACATTCCAATTCAGGTCAGTTCATTAAGCCAATCAGAAATAATGTTTCCTATATAAGGAACCCAGCAAATTGCATCAAGTCTGTCCCAATAAATCCAAACTTGGATGTTTTGTGCAGTTTTTCAAAAAACTAACAGATTTTCTATCATCCCATCTTAAAATAATCCATAAAGCTGCAAAACAATCTAGATGTTTATCTGTGGCTAAATTGTAGCTCATCACCACCAGCGTATGAATGAGTGTGTGAATGGATGAATGATTCACTGTAGTGTAAAGCACTTTGGAGTCCTCTGACTCTTAGCAGGTGCAGGTCATTTATCATTTTAAACAAAAACTAGTCACAGAACTCTCACCCCATTCAAATGGCTATCATCCCTAGGCCACGCCCCCTTGATATAGGATTGTGCATTGTCACAGGACACGAGAGTTAAACACCAGTCACAGTTTTCTACGTCCAAACGCCTTTTGTTGTTCAAATGGTGTTTTGAAGTATAGCAGCCGGCTGTTTCTCCTCTGATATTATTGAGCAAAGAACCTCTCACACCAGTGGTGTTCTCTGTTGGTAAATGCAAAAGTGCAAGATGTACGGAGGGCCCAGGTAAATACAGAAGTGCTGTATTCCAGTGAGACTGGATGATCCAATTCCATTGGAGAGCTTTTAAAAGATGGAGGGCACTTTGTGATCTACTGTACAAGGGCTAAAAACTGATGAAGAGTTGTCGCATGTAAATACAGAGTCGTTTACTGTGTTTTGGAGAATCGTAACCAAAATTTTATTTAAATAAAAGACATAATAGCAGATAATTATTATCTGCTGTGTATGCCATTTACTAATATGGTGCTAGCTTGAATGCTAACTCAACCTGCATTGAAACAATCTGTAAATGTCAAGCTAGCTGCAGAAGAGGAGGAAGAGGAAAAAAAATGGATTTATCTTTTGTATTTTGGAGCTGATGATTAGTGTAGCATTCAAGCTTGTGCTACATCCGGCTATTAGCTTTCTATGTTGCAGGGCTGCCAACTCTCAAAAGCATTCTCAAAGCATTGAGTGTGAGACACAGGCATTTGACCCTCTTCACACGCTCTCACGCCACACCTCCAATATCTCACGCTGATCAACCAAGTCCCGCTCTGCCAGTCAGTGAACAGGGTGAAACGGTCTGTGCACCGCCCACCCCCACCCCCGCTCTTACGCGTTTAAATGTTCAAAAGTTGGCAGCCCTGTATGTTGATGCCGCTTTCCCTGCTTGAGGTGTGGCTTTCAGCACGCCTCAAAACCTCACACCTCAAATGGCTGTGGGTTCAGCGAGCTTCGCATCCTTCTTTCATTCTGGAGCATTAAATGTGTTGAAAATCATTATGAATGCGGCCATTTTGTAGGTATCAGTGACACTGGTAGAGAAGAGAGTCTGCCGTGACATCTTATATGCAACTGCTGATTTGTAGTCTTTTTTATCACACATTTTTACAAGCTTATAAATTTCAAAGTACATGACAGGCATAGTTGAAACAAGCATCATTACTTTTCATTTAAATTGAAGTACAACATATGTGTGATTCAGGGCGTAAAGCAAAGTGGACCCAAAATTGACTTTTATCCCCTCGCTGACTTATTTGTTTCTCAGTCAGGGGACCCATGAGCCGACCAGAAGGGGAGGAGACTTAAGCTAACTATAGTCGTTAAAAATTTTTAAGTCTCTTCCTACTTCTCTCCTTCATGACGTCACTCTATGCACCGCAGCTTTAAAATGTCATAATGACCATTTTTTATTTTTCAAAACACAAACTCTGTTTCCTTGCTGAAGATCGTTTTAAAACAAACCAAAATAATAATATCAGACGTGAAATATGTACCTGCAGGTATCTGCTGGAGGTCACTGAGGGGACACACTTAATGAACCGGCTGTTGCAGCAGCCTGAACAACGCTGCACCTCCACACAGGGTGGCCAAGGTATGAAGTTGACACTGCGGCGGTCCAGCATGGATCTCGTTATTTCCATCACTTCCGTTCGAACTGTACATTCTGCCTTCTTGGCTGGTTCTGCATCCACTTTTGAGACCAAAGAAACAGAAAGCAGATTATAAAAATAATATTTAAGAAATGCGAAATATTGTGCAAAGTGCTTGATGAAGGGATTAGAAATGTGACCTACCGATACTTCTAGTATGTCGACCGGGGGTATAGTTTGGAAGAGTATCGTGCTCATCCTCTTCATCTTCTACAAGAGCAAAAGAGAGACAAGATTAAAGCAGCAAAATTCAACAGCTTTAACTTTAGTCTGAAGCTTTGCAACATTTAAAAACCAACTTATTAGCAATGAAAATTGTATGAAACAAGTGAGGGAGGCTGCTTGGGTAATTTTCAGCCAAGTTCATTGTTCACTGTTCAAAGGAAACCCGTTTTTTTTTACCCCTTCAAAACAATTAGGCTATTTTCTGCCACAATTTGTCTCGCTGCTGTCAAGAATACTGCTGAAGAGAGATATGAGTGGTTAAATATAGCTCATGCATGTGCACTTATATACCCTAATTTCACGCTGTAGCCCCTTAGTCCTAATTATATCCCCGGTGTGGACGACTTTGCACACAAGTGCACAACCAACTGGCTCTAATTAGCTGCCTGGTGCTTGAATACAGTTGTACGTGATTATATGTATCAAAATTTAAATGAAATATTTTGTTCTGTACTTGTCAAATTGTCTGTAAAACAATAGCTTAAGATAGCATTTTTAAGCTCTCATTCACTCATTATTTCAGTAAATTTGCTGTGGTCTCTAGGAAAAATGAATGCCCTGTGAGTCGTTCTCTGTGGGATAAAAAAGGCTCTGGAGCTCCTGTTTCAGGAAGTAGAAGTTAGTCAGAGCAAAGGTGGGCAGAAAACGGGCAGGATTTGGAGTCTTCATCTTTATTATTTACTGATATTCAGACACGTAGCCTCTTATTGGGAGCCTAAGCCTTCTTCCGGACCACGAGAAATTAGAAAAAAATTAATGCAAGTCAATGCGGCTATTAAAGCTATATGTGCCATGGATTTCACATATGATGTCCGTGAATTTTAGACACATTTTGATGCCAAGAAAGCACTTATTTTCGAATGGCGGAAAAGTTATTTTAGGTTTTGTGTGGAAAACGTATAGAACCACAAATGCGTCTCACCATATTGACTTCATCAAACTGAAGTATAACATGTTTGTGATTCAGGGCGTGAGGCAAAGCGGATAAGAAAATAGCTCTTTTAACACCACTAACACACATTCATTATTGTGCTGTTCTGGGACCCCATGAGCCCATCGGAAGGGGAGGAGACTTAGCCTTCCTATTGGTTAACAGCAACGTAACTCTACCCAGAGATATACGTAGACACCCTGTGGACTGGCGCTGCCTATTGGAGCTGGCTTAGTGGCCATCTTGGATGGGCCTCCATTCGCCCCCAATGCATTTATTTCTAAAAAACACATTTTATTATGCTTTTTCACAATATCACATCAATTGTACGACATAGTTAAAATATAGATATAATTGCATTTAAAAATAAATAAAATAAAGAAAAATCGAAAATCCAAACTGGTAGGCTAGAAAAGTCCCACAGGATCTGTTTTCAATGGCGCACCAGTTGTTGCAACTGTTGGTTGTACAAAAAAAGGGCATAGTTGTTTACTCTGTATTGACTCCAATTGGGTTTGGAGAGTGAAGAACCCATCCAATATGGCGATAACACTGTTACACTCCCCAGCGCTCAACAGGTCATCTACATATTCATGTCTATGGCTCTACCACTGAGTCAGTTTGCTTTGCGACGTTGATCTTTTATTTCCGCAAATAACGCAAGCCTGAAGGAGTCCTGCCGTGTTTAGGAGTTGCTAATACTAACGGTTAGCTTCTACTAGCTTTCTGTGCTCGTAAGCCAAGATGGGTGAGTCCATGATTGTTAATTTACAGAGTGACGTAGATCCGTGTGGGTTTCCCTGACTCGAGCATAGTCCCATCTATTTTCACATTTAGCCTTCACGTGAAACGCAGAGTGAGTATGTGATGCTTACAAAATAACAAATAAAGGTGCCTCTGTGAACTTGCTCTTTAAAGACATTCTCACGGTTGTGTCCAAATGTTACGTAAAGACGTGGTGGTAAAGAAGTTATTTGATAATTAAAGCAAAGATCAAAGTGAATCTTTTGCCAGGTAATAAAAAATATGGAACAATGCCAAATTACAAACTTCATAAAAAGACAGTTTGAGTTTTGAAACCAGTCTAATGTCTAGACAAATGCTTCACAATGGCATTGTTACTAAACTGGAGTGTCAAATTCATGTTGTCTTAAAGTTACGGGAAATATTTCTCCTTAATTTTCTAAAGTCGATTGCTAACATATGCACAATGAAGATGATCAAGGGAGATTATTTAATAAAAAAATGAAGAAAATATGCATTTTTCATAAGTAAATGAAAGTTCCTAGATCACCAGGTTCTACAAACAAACCACAGTGTTTGTGCATTTGATTTCAGCTCCGATAACTCTTCATAGATTCATATCTGTCCTCTTCTAAAATCCAGGGTAGTATTGCATAATCTCTAAAACTAAAATAAAATGCAGAATCAGAGAATTCCCTGTACAAACACACCACTGAGTCACGTCCACGTGTCGTGTTCTGGAGCATCCTTCCCTCTGATTGTTCCTCTCAGTTACACCAGTCTGTTATTAATGCTTGATGGAATGATCGAAGGGCTGTTGTTTAGTGTGTGACTCGGTTCCTCTCATGTAAAAGAGGAGCGTGATACATTTTTTAAGCCCCCCTGCTGATCTGCGTGTGAATAATTTTGTTTGGACTCTGTCAGGGTTGAGGAAGCATGGAGAGGGCTGGCTCATTTCTGTCACACAAACACACACATCCATAATTCAAACCTTTTGAGGAATCCAGAGCAGGAGAACAATGCAGTGACCTTGTACTGGAAGAACTCCCGCCAGCTCCCACCTCCCACCCCTCCCAGCTTCAGTCAGACCAACACACAAGGTTGCTGCTGCTCTCTTTTCCTCATCAGGCTGCTGTTGTTGCTATCAAACTGTCTGATCAAAATCATTCCTGGCATTCACAATGATCGTCTTACTTCCTCCAAACCTGTTAAATATCTGTGCGTGCGTGCGTGCGTGCGTGCGTGTGTGTGTGTGTTACGGTTGCCAGTCTGGCCAGTGAAGAGCAGGAGCCAGGATCATCCAGCTCTAGTGAATGAGCCTGACACCGCCCCTCCTCCTCCTCTCTCCCGGGCTGCTGAGGAGCACAGCTGAGCTGAATCTTCCTGATGAGCAAACACCTATATCTCTTATCTTATTGTTTACTTTATTCATTTGTATACTTAGATTAGCCATTTTTAAATTTTACTTGTTTTTACATTACTGTATTTTTGCACAACTCTGTTGCTCTGAAGCTCGCACACAAGAATTTCACTCGCATGTACTGTACCAGTGTACCTGCACATGTGACGTGACGATAAAAGTGATTTGATTTGACCTGCATAAAAGGGCTGCAGGGGTTCTTCTGTCCTCCTGGGTTTTGTTTGGTTTTAACCCCTTTTTTGGTTGCATTCGTTTGGATTCGTTGGAGTTTCAAACTGTGGTAGTTTTTAACTCTTGGTGATAAGTTTTTTTAAAGGTTAACTGCATTTGGTGCAATTTTACTGACTTTGGTTCTTAAACACCTTCGTGTGGTAAAGCTTTTAAAATAAGCTCTTACCAGGTGTTTTATAGTTGATAATTTGGCTGTGTAATGTTAACCTTTTTATAGAGATCTGTTTGCTTGTGTTTTTAAAACCTTTTTGTTACTAATAAACCCATTTTAAACTCCTCTGCCAGTTCTTATGTTACCCCCATCCGTCACTTTTAACAACACCTGTCGGGAACGTGTGTGTGTATGTGTGTGTGTGCAGGTGATGGGTGGCCGTTGGTACCTATTGCGTTTGTCTCCTGCTGCAGCAGTATCTTTAGGTCGTCCACAGAGGAGACAGGAGAATTCCTCACCAGGTCGACCAGTGATGGAGGGAGTGGATCCCCCTAAAAAGACAAACAATTATTTTTTCATTTGGAAATGTCTTTACTTTAAAGAGTACAAACTATTTGAACTTGGGCAATATTACTAATTAGCTCCTTGTAATCACACACATGGGTTTGATTAGATCAGATCTGCACTTGTTGACTTACTAAAGAAACCATAATAAATGTGTTTTAGGTCACCTAAGGCTGTGAACTGGAATAATTTATCTTCTTGGTGTTTGCCAAACTTATTAAGTAGTTTATTTTTTTTCCTGATTTTTGAGCTGCATAGATGTTCTCCCCTAGGGGCGTTTCTAGGGTTCCGGGGTGGGCCAGTGATACCCTGTCAGAAAGCTTGAGCCCCCCTGTGGCCCCCTGTTGGAGGCAGACCCAGAGAATTAATAATTAATTATTGTTTTACTTATAGCGATTTTACTCACTGTAGTTTTTTCTGTATCGTGTGATACAATGTTTTGTTTTCTGGACTTACTGTTTTATGTTTTTATTTGATCAGTGTGGCGCCTTGGTGGCATCTTTTTGCCTGTAAGGCGCGATTTATAAATAAAGTTGAGTTGAGTTGAGAGTTGAAGAACTTTATTTTTGTGATAATT